TGCTCAGGAGGCTGAGATGTGAGGATCGTGGTTCAAAGCCAGCCCAGGCAGGAAAGTCCATGAGACTCTTATCTCCAATTAACTACCAGAAAACCAGAAATGGTGCTGTGACTCAAGTGGTACAGCATTGGCCTTGAGCTGAAGAGCTCAGGGACAGTACCCAGGCCCAGAGATCAAGCCTCACTACTGACATAAAAAGAAAAAACAAGAAAAATTAAGAGAGAGAGAGAAGCAAGAAAGAGAGGGAGGGAGATAGGGAGAGGAGAAAGAAATATTCAAATGAGCCAGTTCTAAACTGTTCACCCGGCTCTGCCTTGCCTTTCCAAAGTCACTTTCTGGGTGGGGGTGGGGAGCATTCTCAAGGCTAAAACATGTAGTTTGGTATCATTTTTAAAATAAGCATAAATGTGCCATTCTATTGCTACTATAATCCTAGAAAGCCTGCATGGAAATATTTAATGTGAAAGAGGCATGATATATGCAAACTACTGTCAAATAAACCATAGGAAATGTTTACATGTATATATTCATACATATATGTGTGTATGTGTGCATACATCTGTATATATATACATATGTGTACATATACACATATAGAGATAAAGATACAGAAGGAGAGGGAATGAGGGAGGGAGGAAGGGAAGTAAATCCACAAAGAGAAGAGTTGAGCGAAAATAAATGTGGCAAAATATTGAGCAGTGATATATCTGGGTAGAAAACTCAGGGAGTTCTCTACACTACTTATAACTTTTGTGTAAATCTAAAATTACTTCAAATTATTTCATTTTTTTTATTTACTTCTTCACTTGATTCCTTTTTTTTTATGGGGATGGAACCTTGCTGTATAGTCCACACTAGCCTCAAAATCATGATCCTCCTTCCTAATTTAGCCTCCTTAGTGTTGGGATTACAAGTCTGTTACCAGCATGCTCAGCCTGGTGACATTTTTAAAAGCTGTAATAAACCCAGTATTTAAATAACAGATATAACCCTAGCTATATGAAATAGAAGTGTATAGTTACTCTCATGGGAAGTAAGGGAAAAATCCATGAAGGAACATTATAAAGTTATTACTCACCAACTGCTTCAGAATAGCATATGTTTGCTGCTATAAGTACAAACTAATCTATCTGAATAATCTGTTAATAATAGGTTATGAAACTACATAAAGCCTCTAACATCCTAAGGGGTAAACTCCTCAAGTGAGATTTCAGCACCAAAGGTAATTTGGAAGGAAAGCACACAAGTAAACCCATATGGCATTAAATCCTGGCTTCCTTCAAAGTTGGCCTCAGCTGACTAAAGAGAGCCAGAACATAGAGGAGTCAGCACAGAAGGTGATGTGTGCCAGGTACTTCCCAGCATCTAGGAAGGGCAAATTCAGCAGGTAATATAAAACTCCCTAACTGGACCTTAAATGCTAGTGTATAAATCACAATATACCTCGTTCCTTGAGAGTGTGTATGAAGCTTCTAAGAATGTCGAAATAACAGTTACAATCAACAATGAGGAGGGTGTATTATGTAGTCTACTGTATGTTTAAATATTTAAAAACAGAAAGAGGCTGAAAAAGGAAAAGAGCCTCTTTGTTTACATTTTTGACAGAACTTTTAATTTTAAACTCAGCAGGAAACAAGGTAATGGCTGCAGAGAGTTAGGTGGGAGTCTAAGCGGTTTATTACAAACCAGTTTTTGTAGTCTCATACATAGGTAGCTGAGTGTCAAGACAATTTCAAATCAATGAATATATTGTTCGTGAACAAACACCTCAAATGCAGAATAAATTCTATTCTCCCTCATATTCCCTAATTTTTTTTAAATCTATGCTGCATAAATATATCAGAAGTCTGAGTTACAGAGATAGTATAGTACGGTGATGTTTTCAAGTATTTTCCCCCGGGCTGTGCAAAATCGCAAATGGGAAATGGTAGACTACATAAAAAATACAAAGCAATTGCAATAATAATAAGATAATGGTACTTAAAATTATTCCTCTCACTTGCTTTATAAAATTTTAAATCTCAATTTTAAATGCAGGAAGCATACACCTTCTATCAGAACCAGTGACCCTGCTGCAGGCATTCTCACTCAAAAAAAAATCTAAAACTTTGGTGTGAGGTCATTAAACTATTCCTAGGGCACCCTTTTACTCTAAAAGCCTCTGTAAGCCATTGAAGTTCTAATTTGAATAATTGCATTCCACCTACATAAATTCCCTCTGTAGTTTCAACTGTATGCAATATCAGTCTTCATTTCCTGAATTAAATTAATGCCGTGTAATATGGTGCTTCTATTTTTTTAAAAAAAGTGCATCTACTTTCGTAGGTAACCTTTCAACAACCAGTAGAAATGATTCATGTGCACCAGAGGGGAATAGGTCAATATGAATAATCATTAACCAGCAATTTGTGCCAGTATTCATTGTGTGCCGAGCATTGCAAAGGGGAGAGCTCATCCAGTAAAATGGCTGCACCTATACAGCTTTATGCAAAAATAAAACGTTTCATAGACTGAATACTATTTTCCGTTGAATTAATCATTGTATCATTAAAACTTTTAGCTTCATGTATGACTTACCTTCAACTCCCTGAGACTCCCAATGTTTGATCATCCCATTCTTCTATTTAGATACTTAATGAGTTGTAAATTAGTACAGGAAAACATAATAACTTAAGCAAAGAACTGCTATATGTGTGTGTGTGTGTGTGTGTGCGTGCGCGCGTGCGCATGTGTGTGTGTGTACACTAAGTAAAGAGCCTTTGGAATCTGGCTCAACTGGGAAAATTTAAAGACAAGAATTTATTCCAATATTCAAAAATTCAACACAACCTATGGTCTACACTTGTGCAGTTCATCAAAGCTATACATCACCATGATGTTTTCAAATACACTAAAATGTTACTACTCTTCAAATTTTATTTCATCATTCTGCTTTTAAATAATTTCACATATAACATATTACCTACTGAAATCACAAATGAAATAATCTGTTGTACTTGCAGTTGGTGTCAAATTCATAAAACATAGACCTAACATAACAAATGTACACTTTCCTTTCTTTTCAGAATATCCATTCCATTAATAAAAGTACACTTTCGTTTGGGAAATATCACCAGTACTTCACCCCCAATTCTCACAGACAGTGCAGTTAAAATAGATGCCTTCACTTTCTCACTGATCAATCAACCTAGAACAGAGGTAGAGCCTGTACCTGTTGAAAGCTAGACCAATCATAGTACCTAAGCCTGATAGCCAAAGTTGATCTGTCTATTGGTAAAGATAAGAGAATATGATCAAAGTTGAAACCATCACAGTCTTCCAAAGTAGGAAAAAAAACTAATAGGGACAATGTAAGTGCTCACACCCTTAATTCACAACCTGTTACCCACCAAAAGTCTCTCTCCTCCTTTGTCAACAACGTGTGGAAAGTGGATTCCCTTTAGTTCCTAATTACTAGAGGAGAAAATCCCAAGAGGGGAATGTCTCTAGGGGCCAAATGATTGTTTCTGTATTCTGCTGATCTGATCTTATATGGGAAAATTTCCTGAAACAATGAGGAATCAATTTCTTTAAAATACCAGTTTGTTACCATAAATAACAACAACAACAACAAAAAGAAATATTAGACCTCAGACTAATCCAACTAACTAATAAAATGTCTCTTCTTTTCTCTGTCAGTGATTAGCCCAAATTTGCCCTTGTCACTTGGATTTTTCAAACTGAAATCATAAAGCAAAAGAAGTGATCTCTCTCAGGTTATGATGAAACTGTGCATCTTATGGCATGGAAGTTGTCAACATCCATGCACAGAAAGCTGATCTGAAAGCTCTTAGCCAAGATGCAGACTCAAGCACAACTTAGAAACAGAGAGAAGACTGTACATTCTGGCAGTAGTTAAGTCCTGGTTCCAGATGTCTCTGATAACTGCCATAGCCTGCCCTCCTTGGGGAACATAGTAAGCGTTTCAATAAACCCCTTTTTATACCCAAGTAAATTCAACCTATTTTCCTATAATCAGTATCCAAGGGAATTCTATGTAATATACCAGACAAATATTGGAGAAATAAATTTTACTTCTTAGAAATAAGGGGTCTAGGAATAATGCAAAAAATCTAATGCAGGGCTGGGATGTAACTCAGTGGCAAAGCACTTGCCTAGCAAGTGCAATATCCTGGGTTTGATCCCTAGTACCAAAAAAGAAAAAGAACAAAAAAAAAAAATACAGTTAAAAAAACAAACAAACAAACAAACCACAAAAAACCCTTTAAAAAAACAAAGGAGGAGGCAACAATGCTTGATAAGAAATGTACTCATTACCTTGCTCATGTGATTGTAACCTCTCCATACAGAATTTTCACAATAAAAAACTTATTTTAAAAAAATCTAAGCATGTGCAGATTCAAAGCAGAAAAAAAAAAAAAAGCTTGGCATCCCTGACTCCATTTGACATCTGTCTCTTTTACTAAGAATCTCTCTCCCTTCAATCACTTTGGTTCCCAGAAAGGACAGGACAAATCGATAACATCTGATCCTAAAAGGATTTCTTTACAGAAGATGGTATCATTTAGAAAATTTACTTAGTCCTCTACAATTCTTAAGGAAAAAAAAAATCAAACTACAAACTCAGAAAACTATTTGATAGTTATTGCTATTCATCTCTCTTCCAATTATAATAGCACAATATTTAAGGCCTTATAAAGAAATGTAGGATTGGGCATAATGGAGCATGCCTTTTAATCCTAGCACTCAGGAGTTACAAGCAGGAATATACAATGCTTGCAGTCAGCCTGGTAATAGCAATGTGAAGTCCAGTATCAGTTACATTGTAAAACTTTGTCGGAAGAGAGGGTAGAAGGGAATGAATTTAGTAAAGTGAAATTTTAGTTTAAAGCCTTTTAAAACCTCTCCATTCCCAGCATACAAATAATGAGCACTCATTTCAAGTGCTTGAGAAGCAATACAGCATGTGCTCTAAAGAAAAAAATGAAATTCATTTTCACCTGCATAGATGCTCCTTCCACTCTTGCCACACAGGCAACCCGATCCAAGAAAGTCACTGCCACCGGCACTGCCACAAAGAAGCCTTTATAAAAGGCCTTGAAGTATCTCTTCACCCAGCCTTGTGCCTGTGCCATACCTAGATACACAAAGACAAGAAGTAGAAATTAGTCTCAAGAAAGGAGAGAACTACATACAACCTAAGAAAAGTAAGAGTGGGATAGTCTGCAGCTCAGTGATAGAAGATGTGGTTAGCATACACAAGGCCCTGATTTGATCCCCAGGACCAAAATAATACATACATACATACATACGTAACAGCAACTGATATATTTCACACTAATCCCTGTAACCATTAGAATAACATTTTACTTATACTCCCAAAGGGAAAAAGATTAGTTCACATTAATTCTTTTTAGTAGCTCAAGTCCACCAAACAACTTCAGTAGAAAATCCATCAATTTATCAATAAGCACTCCAAAAGCAAATCTTTTCCTATTGCTTACAATTATGGTAGAGCTGCAGAGCCTCACAGCTCTAAGAGAAATTTTGGTAGGGCATGTGCCTACCTGGCTGAAAAATATCCCAGCCCTTTTACAGCGTGTCCATGTGACTGGGTCTGATCAATGAAATACGAGCAGAACAACATACTTCTACTTTGTGCCCTCACAAACACCCCACTTCTCTATTTTATTACTATAAAATAACAATATGATGGTCTTATTACCTCTGCCCACCAGTCAAATTTTCTGTTATCCATTCCCCTACTGTTCCCCCTTGCTTCCTTTTCCTGAACATTAATTCAAGAACCCCTACATGATCAGTATATACCCTGAGAATGTCTGGTTTATGACACGCTGTGAAGATGATGTTCTGCTGGTTTGATTATTGGTTGCTCCTCTAGTTCCATTACCACTGCATTATAGTATGTCTCCCTCCCCCACCAGCACCATGACAATACCAGGAACTGGCTAAGCAAGGCAAAGTAGAAGAGGGAAGGGAAGCAGAATTCTTGGGAGATGTAGTAGTATCTTCTTTGAAAAGTCATACATAGTCCATTCACTTATTAATCTGCCTGATCTTCATTTCTTTCCTCTACTAAGAAAAGGGTGATTGATCTGAGAGTATAACTTATATTTTCTACCATTCACAGGCCACTGAATGAAGTCTTCTCTCTTCTGGTGTGGTTACTTGGCTCTGCATCTGATGGTTAACAAATCATGATTTGGCTTGGAAAAACTGAGTACCAGTAGGAGCAGCCATCTCAAGCTTTAAGACTAATGTTCGTTAAAAATAATAAAGCAACAAAATAGGAGAATCCTAGTTCCACACACTATGGGTCACTTGACTATCCTGTATGGGCCGCTCTCACACTGGTACTTCTGATATTACCTGTGAAAGCCAGAAAACTAGTTTGATGGCACTTGCTTCTTTGTCTGAACCAATCACAAGTGTGAAAATTTGATTTAGTCAGCTAATTTTTATAGAATTACATTTTAAAGTGGGAAAATACAAATTTGGCTCTGGCCTGATTTTATACTTCTCTCAGATTAATCACGGTGTGCCTAGGACTTTCTCAGACTTCTCACAGGTGTATCCCCAGCACTCTCAGTCTCTAGTAGGACAACCTTGCTATGATTGTGCAGACAGAAAAGAACAACACGCATCTTGTTACTTTCTTAATGGATGAGAGGGAAGGTCATGCCTAAGGTGTAACTGGTTTCTATACCTTTTTCAGGATCACTGAATAAAGGAAGCCCCTTGCATTGTCTTGACAATGTAAATACATGTACAGTCTACATCCTTCTTAGAGAGGGTGGTAGGACGTGATGGTGCTGTGACAAGAACTGCTGTGTCTTCTTTCAGACTAATAGTATATTATCCAAATTGGTCCTAATTAAGACAAAAATGAAATATATGATGGAGCAGGAAAGGAAGCTATTGCATGACAATTCAATACATATATCTCCAATCTGTAACCCTGTAACCATTTGACAACTCTTCAAACTTTCTAGGAATCAAGAGATACCTTAACTATCTTTTTTGGGGGGGGAGGGGGGAGGAGGTCTGTCATGGGGCTTGAACTCTGGGCTTGGGCGCTGTTCCTCAGCTCTTCAGCTCAAGGCCAGCGCTCTACCGCTTGAGCCACAGCACTACTTCCAGTTTTCTAGTGGTTTATTGGAGGTAAGAGTCTCATGGACTTTCCTACCGGGCTGGCTTTGAACTGTGATCCTCAGATCTCAGCCTCCTGAGTAGCTAGGATTACAGGCATGAGCCACAGGCACCGGCTTACCTTAACTATCTTATACAATGAAAAGTTAAACAGTGAGGGATCCAGTTGGGCCAAATGGGGCCAAACAAAGTCCTACAGGTGGATAATACTCCTGGCTAGGAAATGTAAATCATCATTTTGTTGGCTGTCTTACACAAGACAGGAGGGAGTAGATAAATAGGGAGGAAGTGAGACAGAGTCTAATAGACTCTTGACTTCTCTTTATTTAAAGTGAGAGACTAGATCAGATTAGGCTAAACAGTTATATAACACTATCACCAAACTTCTTCAGCCCTAAACCCACCATTCATTTTGCTTCCAAATGATCTAAAATTTCTTGTCCTCTTGAAAGCTGGTCCAGAAGGTTTAAAAACAGCAACCATACCAAGCATCAATCAAAAATGTATAGAACAGCACAGTATTCTAGGCTTCCTTTTTTAAGTGTACAGACTTAAGTGTCACACTATCAATAAGAGTAGTATTGTGACAATATTCATATTAAAAAAATGAAAGAAAAATAAGAACTATGAAACAAAGGGAAAAGATTAAGAAATATATTCATGATGATAAAGAATGGTAGACAGAAGTGAAAAGAAAAACAATATTTAGCACTTAGTAATCACTAAAAAGCAGAAATAGGCTGACTCAAATGGTAGAGTGTTTGTTTAATATATGTAAGGCAATGGATTCAAACCCTGGTATCACAAAAATGTATTAGATAAATAAATACACTCATACACTCCTAGCAGAACTATACTCAAGATTCTTTCTCAAGCATTAATTTCTAAAGATGTTACTCAGTGTGTTGTCTATTTAACCTGGAACTGCAAAACAAGGGGAGCATATGAAGAAATCATTTCACTATCACATGACATAAATTGTGATAGCTATAGAACCACTTTCAAAGAGTTTCTTATGAGAGACTACACCTCTCACTTTATTTTGATGAAATTCTTCCTTTAGAAGCCACATACAAGACAGGGCTACATGGTAGTGAAGAAGACCTTGACAGAGTGAGAAATCTGCCTGAGTTATAATCAAGAACAATGGATTTCTAACTTTTTACACGATATGACACATGAACAAAGTTTTATATAATAGCCCAGGAGTCACTAATACACACACACTATAGGAAGGAAGACAGTAGTAATAGGAAGGTTCCACAAAACAACACCATTATTAAATAATAGAGGATAATTTTAGCTGCTTGTTTTCTTTTTGTATAACACTGCTACTTGCAAATCAATAAATTAATTTTTATGGACCACTTGACTTATAGTTTTATCTAAACTGACCTATGAATATCCCAATCTCTAATTCCCTCTAAAATCTTTATATCATAGGGTGAAATATAATAATCTAAAGTAGTTAGTTTGGAGGTAACATGTATGAATGGTAAAGAATAAAGACCAGTAAGACTTTTCAAAATATATTACACATATCCTAACATTTACCCAAACCTATAATCTTTTATATCAAACTGAAAAAAATGTTACTGCAGACTAACTTTAGAAAATAAGCAATTTAAAATCATGTTTTCATTCCAACTCAGCTGTCAAACTGTAATCTTAAGTAAAATTGTTTAGAAGTCCTCACATCTGGTACCGAAGAAATATTTTTGGCCTAAGGTGCTATATGTTTCCACAAGCAGCTTCAACCAGGGTATCCTAAGACAGGATGCTTGCTTGACATGTTTCATTCATTCATACCAAACTTTCCATGGCGCCCCTAAATCAAACTAATTTCTCATCAGTGACATCTTTCACTTAGAACCAAAATACTTTTACTAACTCATTTCATACATCTCCATAGATATTTAATATATTTTTCCAAATGGACTGATTTACAAAAGTCCCACTTATCTTCTCCGTGACTTGGCAACAAACTAATAATTCTGGCATATTTATAGGATCAGTACTTTCAGGATGCAAAAAAATACGAATTTTCCTCAACATTAGATTTCATTAGCTTAATCTCTCTGAAAATAATTCTGACTAAAAGTTCTACCAGTCAAATATCATGCTTTAAATAAGTTTCATGACTCTCACAATGTTCATTTTCAGGGTTTCCCAAAATACAAATAAATGAATAAATCCAAAGATTACAGATAGTAATATATGAATCTGCAAATTATTGTTTCATGTACATAGGAAAAAATCTATACTTAGCTACTATGTACAAGAGAAAAGAAACAGCTCTAAACTAAACATTACTTCCCCATTTACCAGTTAGATTATCAAGTTTATTTCAGTGGTCCACACTGATGTTAAAATCATAGGCCACTCTCAGATAACAATTCCAGGGCAATGTTTCCTAAGCCTGTCTTAATTGACATGATTATAAATGCAGACCCTTACTCCCAGCCAGATCTTCAAAATCTAACTTCCTAGGTGATTTGCTTAATCAAGCAAATAGAAAATGCTGCTAGTTGGGTGATTAAAGGTCAGAATCATTACTCACTCTCACAGGCTTATTACTTTCTCAAAATGGGAATAAGAGAAAGGTAGGGAAGAATTACCACCCTGAATGTCTTAGTACACCTTCAGTTTGTCCCTTTACTGGATTAAAAAGAAAGTATCTGAAGAACAAACCTGTTCAGAAAATAAACAGTACAAAATGATGGGCAGGGGACTATGTCTTTGTTCCTATGGGGAAGTTCAATCATCCACCAATTCATTCATCTCCTGTATCATTCATTCTCACAACCAGTATATATGAAGGGACTTCCAGAAGCCAGTGGTAGGCACCAGAGATCATACAATAGTGATCAAAGCCAGACTTTATCTCTGCTTTCATGAATTCTTATAATCAATGGCAAAGATCAATGGAATAATCAAATACATCTAAATCAGGTTATATAAAGTGCT